TGTCCCCCGGGGGGGGGGGGGGTCGTGCGTCGTATCGATGGTGTTGGGCGAGAAGGCCCTAAGTGTCCCTATTGGGAATCTTTGTTTATGTCGCGCCTTGTATTCTTTTACTGACTATTTACCTCCGTTGATTGTTTTGTTTAAGAAGTATACGCTTTCGTCGATTGCAAACACGATACGAAAAAAGGGGTCGACAGGTTGCAGTGATTAAAAAAAACTCTGACGTGTTTTCTCGCTCTTCTGAAAAACCAGCCCCAGGACACTAAGGGCCCTCTAGCACGATACCATCGATATGTACTGCATAGAACGTTTTCTGTTGCATCTGACTGCCGCGCCTCGACATTCAAGAAACCCGCTTTCCGCGAAAGCCTCGCATCCCACACCGAGACTCACCGACAGACCGCAAAATCGTTCCCCAGATCCGCCGGTGTGCAAGGACGAGGAGCGACCGATCGTCTACGGCGTAGCCAAGATGGAGGAGGCGTTCGTGACGTGCCGCGTGGAGGCGGAGCCCCCTCCCACCCGCTTCCGGTGGGCCTTCAACAACTCCGCGACGACCCTGGAGATCCAGGCGAAGAACTACAACAGCACCGGCCTGGCCAGCACCGTCCGCTACAGGCCCCAGAACGAGCTGGACTACGGGAGCCTGCTCTGCTGGGCCTCCAACGAGCTCGGGAACCAGGCCTATCCCTGCGTCTACCACGTCATCGCCGTCGGTAAGCGATCCCGAAATGGTTTGGAGTAATAATTCAGAGTGCAAGTCATCTCCCGAGAGTTACTTGTGCGTCCGCAATATTCCCATTTAGTACGAGGCTCTGAACCTCATGGTTCGAGCAGCGCAAATTAGGCTCATCTGAGGTGCTTTCTCATAAAAAAAAAAATGTTCCTGTCACTTGCTAAAAACCTTCTTATCCACTACGGTGAATGGAAGTAGAGACCATGGGGTCTGTTATTTCGTCGACAGATCCCACGCAGAGATAAGCTCTCCAGTATGAAAAATGCATCGCTCCCAACAAGCAGCTCCAGCCGCACTTAATCCGCAAGGAAGAAGCGCCCGAGTGGCAGCGCAGGACAAATAGAGGGAAATTAGAGGGGAAGATCCCCCCTTTTTTCTATCTATTACGGATTGATATATGGATGCAGAGCGGATGTCCATTTAGGCCGGTCTGATGAATGAATCGAGGCCGAACAGAGACAGGTTCATGAAGAGGGACACAGGAGGGAGACGTTTTTTTCCCCTCGGAGGGAAATGACCAAAATCCTCTCATTACTCGGCGGTCTTTGTTTTCCCCATCTCGTTTCGCATACACGGATCGCTTCTTCCTCGATGGGATTCATCAATGGCTCGATGGGACGCCGGCTTATCCACGCGAAAACAATTAGGATACAATCAGTCGCGCAAATGGAGAGCCGTTCTGGAGATTTCCGAAGGGGTGAGGAAAGAGACGAGGGCGAAAAAGATGGCAGGTGTGGGGGAAAGAATGCCGGATCGGGAATATCCCGGAAAAAAAAAAGAAGAAAGCGGTTCTCTCGCGAATGTCTGAGTGCATTCTTAGCATTCAGGCCGTGTTCGGCTCTGGCCGGAGCATTAACTCCTGATTCTCACATAGAACAGAGAGGGGAGGGGGGGAAGGTCCGGAGAGAAAGAATTGAATATTTTATCCCGTATGGCCAACCCTTTGGAAGGGGTTCCAGAGCCGCCGCTGGACTGCACGATCGTGAATCTGACGACCGAGTCCATTCAAGTCACGTGCCGCGAGGGATTCAACGGGGGACTGAAGCAGCAATTCGTGCTGGAGGTCTACGAGGAGGAGCGCCGCCAACTCTGGGCCAATGTATCAAACACGAAGCCGAGCTTCGTCATCAACGGCTTGAGCCCCGGGACGACGGTCTCCCTCAGCGTCTACTCCGTCAATGCCAAGGGACAGAGCGAGAAAGTCTTCCTCGATGCCTCGACGCAGAAGAACGCCGGGCAAGTCCTCGCCAGACCAGGTAAACGAACTCACATTCGGCATAATTATTAACAATAATAACATAACCGATAAAATATATATACTTAAAAAAGTTAAGTCAAAATTTGTTAAGCAAAAAATTAAGCGAGACAATACAGGATCCGTTACGAACCTTTCCCCCCCGCGGTGCATTTCTCTTCCGCCGCGTTACCTATCGCTGTTTGACATGCTCTCAAAGGTCTGTCTCGAAATGCTTTCAAGAGAATTTCAAGACGGCTCGAGAGGTCGTCGCCACCTCTTCCATCGATATAGGAATTACGTGGAAAGGAATGGAAAAGACAGGCGGAGAAAGATTCCTCCACCCGCTTTCCTCTCACTTTCCTCTCACGTTCCTCTCTCTTTCCGCAACTTCTCACAGCCTGGCATTTTCGGTGCGATCCCTAAGAGTTTTCGAAGAGTGAAACTGAATAATGAGTTCGCTTTGAGGAGATGTTGGCTTACGACCAAAAGGGGAATCAGGCCTTCGTTCTATGGGAAGCTGGCCTTCGTTCCATGGGAAGCAGGCCTTCGTTCCATGGGAATCAGACGACTCGGAATTGAGAAGAGGGAACCATTTTTTTAAAACCTTTTTTTTTTTAAACCCTTTTCTTGCGTTGTTACCTCAGTTTAGACCAGGTTTCAGCTAGACCTCGACCAGACAATTGAGTTACAACGGGAAAAGTCTGCGGCGAAATTATCCAAGCAAATTCCTATTTTTATTTTTATATACTTTATTATTTATTATTTTCACATTCGAGAAAACTTAAGGGAAAACTTTTCACCTCTCGATAGCGGTGACGGCACACCGAAAGGGAATATCTATTTCGGGAGACCTTGACCCTTGGGAGTTCCTATTGACCTTTACCGTGGCCATATTGCACGGCAATATTTGAAATGCGGAAGAACAGCGCAAGTGATGCCGAATGGAAAATTTCCCCCAAGGTCTATGTATGTATTTTTTCTCACACAACTTGGCGAGATTTAAAAAGGAAAATATGAGAGCATAACCGAAAGGGCAATCGCCCATAAAAAGGGCGAGATTTAAAAAAGCATCAAAGCGCTCACTGACGCATAAGAATAACAAAAGCCGAGAATTGAAAAAAAAAACAGCGCACAAACAAATGTAAAAAAAAAGGCCATAAGTAATTCAAGGCCAGGAAACTCGCAGGGGCTCGTCCTTGAGCAGGCTTATCTCAGAGCAATCTCGCCCCCGCTGTTAAATGCCCTGGCTCACGAACGGCTGGAAGTAATGCCTACTCCGATATTACACATCAGATAGTCCCTGCCTCGCTGTACACATCGATATAATTGCGATATGCATCGCGGGCTGCACGTGGGAAATCACCCATACTCGACACGCCATATCGACGCGTTCGTCACCATGGATATGGGAACGAATAATTGCCAAGCAACACCCCCTCCCCCCTCTCCCCGCCCCCCGATTTTCATGTGAGAATTGATTTTGTCTCCCCAGATTCGCTGATGAGGAGCCTGACGTTAAACTCCCTGCTCCCCGTCCTGGTCGGCGTCGCATCCGGCCTCGCCCTGGTCGCCATCGTCATCGTCATCATGATGAAGATGAAAGGCCACAGCAGCCGCAGCCGCCGCGGCCGCCGACGCAGTCGCGGCTCCGACGACAACAAGCCCGTCGCCCCCGGGATCCCCGTCTACAACCCAGTCGAAGGACTCATGAAATCGGACGATCCTTACGAGCTGGACGAAAAGAACCCCGACCTCATTCCCCAGGGCTCAGGTAACCAAGACTCCCATCCTCGCTCGAACGAGATTGCGAATCGATGAATGACGCTCTTTCCCCCCCCCCCCCTCCTTTTTTCTTCCCTGTTCCTTTTTTCTTCCCTTTTTTTTCTCCCGTCCCAGTGACTCTGGAGTGCCCCGGCAGGCCATTGCAGGTAGAGATGCTCAATCACAAGGAAAGGCGCCACGTGTCTTTCTGCGAACACCACACCTTCCTTCCCAGTTGTAGTAATGAATACCTCCCCAACGCCTCTTCTCCTTCTCCGAATCATATATGGCTCAAAAATCCGGAGGTAAGAAGTCATTCCATCCCGCAACATCTATTCTCTAACCGACAGCTTGACCATAATTACCTCATTTTTAATTCATTTTAATTTTTACACGCGCATTTCAACGTAGTGCTCCCACTCACGCCCCTGTTCCCGTTAACGCACCGCCTTCGAACCTTTGAACCTTTGAACAAACGCTGTTCCCCCTCCCAGGAAGGAGGAATCAGTTCGACGGCAGCGTCGGCGTCAGCCTTCATGTCCTTGCCTCGTAACTACACGTCGACGCCGCTGCTCCAGAGACCCGACCCAGTCGTGGCCTACGCAACCCTCGACCGAACCCCGCGAATCCCCCCGCCCCGGGGCTTCGGCAACCACCCCGACGACCCCCACCCCCCCAAGCGCCGAGGCTCCGACCAAGTGGAGAGCACCGTATAGTCTCCGGGGGAAGGGAACCGCGCCCGATCGCAGCCAGTGAGTCCTTATTGCCCATATCGGCGACTCGTGGACGGAGACGGTCCCGAACGAGTGTTCCCTATCTACTCGTTTCAAGGCTTTTCCTGGACTCTTGCCAGCCCTGGAAGGAAGGAAGGAAGGAAGGAATGAAGGAATAAGATAGGATGTAAGGAAAAAAGGAATCCTCGATCTGGCTTTCAGGCAAGTGTTGATTATTATTTATCTCCCCCCCGCCGAGAATCAAGCGGTGGCGTTCCCCGTGAACTAAGGAACCTGGGACCCACCTCGCTCCACCTTTTTTGCTCCACCTTAGGTGGAAAAACGCGTGCTGTCGTGTAGAAGAATAAGAGCAGGGAAAAAAGAACGAAGCTGTGTGTAGGCGAAGCGTGCGGGAGACAGGCAATTGGCGAGTGACATGCGAGCAATTCATCAACCAGGCACTA